TGAAGGATAAACCGCCCGCAGGGGCGTGCTGGGTGTTTTATATATATAGAGAGAGAGAACAGAGTCACCAAATGAAGATGATTCTGCTTCTGATCTATATTTACGAGCGGTCAGTGAGAGAGTGCTTCATTTCCTTTTATGTACTCCGAATAAATGCGTCAGACATGACTTGCCCTCGTAGTGCAACAGATTTACCACACTATAAAGGTGAAACTTACAGATCTGGATTCAGGTTTCTTGGTCTTCCTCAGGGTAACGTAGGAAGCAATAGTGGAGGACTCGGCAGGGCTCATTGGGGATTTGGTCCTGGGGGGGATGACACCCACTCGGTACGGGGACACTGTTGGAGAAACAGCCGGAAAATGCTCTCACTCACACATTAATGAAAAACAACTAAAAGGACTAAAAACAATATATAGGCTACGTGTTTTAACTGAACCAAGTTAGTATGAGGTCCCAACGTTACCAACACAGATGTGAGAGAAATACTCTTTCCAGTAGGGCTGATGAAGGCCTGAAAAGGTCAAAGGACAAAGCCTCACCTGTGGCCAGTAAACACTTTCTACATTCAGTGACCATGAATGACATCTTCTAAAACTTGACGAATTGATTGAATAATATAAGATAGCACAGATCTGTCTTTACTATTAATACCCTTTAACAGATACATTCCCCGACCAAAAAAACATCGCCACCAAAAAAACTCTAGTACGTAGTTGGACTGCCTTTAGCTTTGATTACGGCATGCATCTGCTGTGGCATTGTCTCCACAAGCTTCTGCAATGTCACAACATTTATTTCCATCCAGTGTTGCATTAATTTGTCACCAAGAACTTGCACTGATGATGGTGGAGTCTGACCGCTGTGCAAAGCCTTCTCCAGCATCCCAAAGAGTCTTAATGGGGTTAAGGTCTGGACTCTGGTAGCCAGTCAATGTGTGTGAAAAGGATGTCTCATGCTCCCAGAGCCACGCTTTCACAGTTTGAGCCAGATGAATCCTGGCATTGTCACCTTGGAAATATGCCCGTGCCATCAGAGAAGAAGAAACCCATTGATGGGATAACCTGGTCATTCAGGGAGTCAGCGGACCTCCTTCTTGGAGCACATGCTGTTGCTGAACCTAGACCTGACCAACTGCAGCAACCCCAGACCACAGGCTTGTAGGCACCAGGCATGACGGGGGCATCACTCCATCTGCCTCTCCTCTTACCCCGATGCGCCCATCCCTCTAGAACAGGGTAAGTCTGGACTCATCAGACCACATGACCTTCTTCCATTGCTCCAGAGTCCAGTCTTTATGCTTGCTAGCAAACTGAAGCCTTTTTCCCGGTTTGCCTCTCTGATTACTGGTTTTATTATGGCTACACAGCTGTTCAATCCCAATTCCTTGAGCTTCCCATTGTGCTGGTGGAAATGCTCTTATATTCACTATTAAACATAGCCCTGAGTTCTACTGTTGTTTTTCTTCGATTTGATTTCACCAAACGTTTAATTGATTGCCGATCACAATCACCACACTTCTTCCTCGAAGACCATGGATCCCCACTATCCTTCCACTTTTTAATAATGCGTCGGACAGTTCTTAACCCAATTTGCGTAGTTTCTGCAGTCTCCTTGGATGTTTTCTCTGCTTGATGCATACCAATGATTTGACCCTTCTCAAACACACTAACATCTTTTCCACAACCACGATATGCATCTTTCGACATGGTTGTTTATGAAATGTGAAGCAACTCATTGCACCAGTTGGGGTTGAATAACTTGTTGCCAGCTGATAATCGCCCATGCAGTAACTGTCCAACAGGAGGCTCGAACCTATTTGCTTAGTTAAATCCAGCGGGCAACTTTTATAATAAGTGTGGCTTGTGGCTCGGCTGCAGGGGTCAGCCCGCCAGAGGGACCCGCTCAGCCCAATCCGGACATCAGTGCCCCGAACCCACTGCTCCACCCCCTCTGCAGCCAAGCCACACCCCGTCACGAAACGCCAGCTTCTTTAAAGCACAGTAAAAACAGTGCAGCGAGAATGAGGCTACCACTGAGAGTCACACACTGATTAATCAATGTACCTTTGGATGATGGGCCGTCTTTACTTTCAGTCTCAGCCTTGTCCTTCTCTTCACCGTTGGCCTCGTCCACTTCCTCGTTCACCGTGGTCAGCTCCGGCTCACTCTTATATAGCCGGTAATCTGGAGCTTGCTTTGAGTGCAATAGGAAGGAAATCTCAGGATAAGAATACATTCATACACAAGTTGTTCAGCATCAGTCAGGCACACATAACACCGATATGAATTAGATGTATTTGAACTTGTTGAGGAACAGATGCACATGAATTTATTCTTTAGGATGGGGTCTGGAAATAAAAGGCGAGAGATGGCTGAGAACACTGAATCCTGTGAAATGAGGAGCTCGGGTGCATTGGCTCGGTGTACTGAAGTGTGCCAGTCACAGCAAACTGAGGATGTTGGGGGCTGATGTGGTCGGGAGAGGGTGGGGCATGAACGCGTTCAGCGATTCTTACACTGTGTGCTCCATTCCTGGTGCCGGTTTTGCGGTCTTCAGGACGATAATTGTGGGAGGGCATGGGGCCACCACGGTGCGAGTGGTGGGGGGGCACTTGAGGGGGGCGGTCTGATGAGTCGTAGTACTGGGGGAGAGGCGGGCGGGGGGGTACGCTGTTGCCCTCCTTGGGAGGACTGAGTGGCTGAGTGACTGCCTGTAGACAGTTAACACAACGGGGCTCAAAGAAAGGACAGCGCTCCTGTCATGCTGTACAAATGCTGCTCGTCACCAAGAACTCAGCCTGACTGGACCAGTTTCTGCAAACTGGGATGGAGACACCTCGGCTTGTGCTGGAAATACTCAAACATCACTCTGACTCCAAATGTGTTCTTCTGAGACTTGCTGTTATGGGTGCATTCACAACGACAACAACACAAACTACACTATAAGTATGTTATTAATGGAACATATCAGTGTTAGCGGTAAACACGCATCCTAACGACATGTAAAGAGCTACGGTAAGAGTGAAATATCTGGTTCCGTGAGACGGGACAGGACTTTATTTTTAGTTTTACACCTGTTCACTCTGTCTGCTACTCGCCATCGAGCGCATACTCTACAGGACGGCGGTCCCTCGTTCATCGTGGGAGTTGCGTTCTAAAAATAACCCGCGATAAGTGAAATCCGTGAAGTAGCCAACTTTATTTTTTACAATTATTATAGATGTGTTAAGGCTGTAAAACCCGTCCCTACACAGTTTATAAACTTTTCTCGCACAGGCAGGAACATTTTCAAACTTTTCTCTGTTGTTTAAACTCCCAAAGTTCAAACCTTGGTAGAAAGTCCAGTATTACAGAATGAAACCAAACACACCTGCAGGTGACGACGTTTCGTCGACATTGTCGTGTTCGTCAGAGAAAACTTACAAACATACAGCGCAGCACTTCGGAGTCACGCTGCTACTGATCGAAGATTTATGTAAATTGGACAAGCTGAACACATTCTGTACTGTACAGGGGACACGGCACAAGATTGATTGACACTTGTCTACAGCCAATCAGGACACAGAACACAATGTGCTGTAAAAAAAAAAAGCATGCAAAATTGCGCACAAAAAAATCCACGAAACAGCAATGCTGCAAAAGGTGAACCGTGTTATAGCGAGGCACCGCTGTAACTGAAGAAGCTAATCTCACCAGCATCATGGAAAGTATCTGTGGAAACGGACAAACCTGAAACGCCACAAAAACAGCTGAGCGAGCGGATTTCTACACTGAACTCAAACATCGACCTGTCCAGTACGAAACCTTTGAGCTACACAATCTCTATTCAGCTGTGAAACAACAGACAGCAAAGCCATCACACACACTCCTGCTGAACAATTTGACCACGTGCTTCATGCTAACCCTTCAGCTGGAGCTTAAACAAAGCCATCTTGGTTGGGCTAGAAAGACGCCAGAAATCTCTGAAGTCAAAACAAACGTAACTAAAACAGAATCATGTGACAGGGGTGTAATGTGCACACTGCCGTACCTCATTCTTCTGCTGGATGCTGAGTGGCTTTGAACCAAGAAAACCTATTAAACAGACAGAAATTGGAGAAAAGAGACAGAAGTGAAGAAGTTTGCGATCACTGAAGATACGTGAATGCATCAGGTGCCGCTGCAAAATGGAGTTCTACATCTTCCTCACAAGATGATTCATCTTTCAGGTATCCAACACTTTGTAACGCACAGAAAACACAACATAGATTTACTGACAAGCCAAAGCAGAATATTAACAGGGTAGATTTAACCAGAAGGCTAAAGACGCGATATCACAGAATCACAAAAAATAGTCTATAACAAGGACCCTATGCAGAAAACGCACACACAGGGCCACCGTGTCCATTTCACGCTTTGTGTGTGTGAAATGGACACGGATGCACGGAGATATTTCACTTCATGCCAACACGAGAACAATGACGGCAAAGACAATATTAACATGTTTACGTGTATATTAAAAACAGCAGCTAGGCTGTCAGCATCACCGGGTCTCACAGTGTGTCAGTGTATTGTTGGCAGAGCCGTGTAATGACACGTTGTCATGGAAACATAAAACTAGAAACTACAACAGGGCACCAAACGTAACCGACGGTGACTATAACGGCTCTTTCTAAAAGATAAGAGTGACAACCAAGCGACGGCCGTGACCTGACGACTGAAACGCTGCAACGAGCAAAGCTGCAAAAACAAATCAAATGTACATTTTGACACACAGAAGCAAAAAGTGGTGAAGCAGCTGCTTTTTCTTTAAACCTCCGGCAGGATCAAGATTTGGTTTTGTTCAAAGAGACTGACCGTGGCGTGTTTACAAGAACTGTTTAGAACCTTGAAATTGTATCCAAGACATCAGACACACGCATGCAAGCAAGAACGTAAGAATGTGATGGTGGAGGTGCTGAGGGAGGGCCTCACTGCTATTTGTGCTCCGCTGGGGTTTGCTCTTGGACAGCGCCTCCATCACATCCTGGATCCTCCACAGCTCTTTCTGGATCTGAATGTGCCGCTGACTTGGAGGCTCTGTCTGAAGACACACAGAGACACACATCCAAATATTCTGTTCAAAGTTAACCACCGTGTAAAGTAAGAGTGTGTGTGTGTGTGTGCGTGCTACCTGTGGGCTGCCCAGGGCCTCCAGCTGTTCCAGTAGGTTGGATTTGGCCAGAGTAACATCTGCTTCCAGTAGGTCGTACTCCCTCCAGGAGCACTCTAGCTCCTGAAACAGGACACCAACAGCAGTCGGTTTGTGTTTATCTGTGCGGGTTTTCTTTCCCGTGTCTCCTCTTTTAGGTTCGGGAACCTTTGCCCTCTTTCTCATCTGTCAGGTTTGCGTGGCATTTCTGTGAGTTCCCCCGGTACATCAGTTCTAAACCAACAGACACAAGGACCAGAGACCCCGAAATCTGCAGCCGAGCAAAGACTGAACTTGTGCTTGTTCCTGAAAAGACTTCCTGCACAATCATGTGGATTCCCATCTACTATCATTAGACTGGCTGCATAGGATATGCAGGGTATGGTTTAGAGGATGGATCCCTTAGAGCCCCGATCCGGTGTGTGACCACTCACAGTGTAGCTAGAGTAGATCCAGCCTTTAGGTATGGGCTCAAAATGTGGTCATAAATATTTTGTACTTGTAAAAAAGATTTGTATGTGTAAAAAAGAATTTGTGTGTGGACTTAGCCAAAAAAAACCCTGCAAGTTACAAGTACGGATTTTGACCCTATTTTTCTTCCTTTCATCTGATTGGTCAATGTCATGTCAATCACAAATGTAACAATCCAATCAGAGAACAGATGGGTTTGGCTGTCGGAGGGGAGCTTTTTTTGAACTGCAGGTCCTTGAAGGGTGATACAGTTTGAAGCTGGAGGATCTCTATATAAATATCCGATAGCAGCTAGGTCCCTTAACTTTCAGTAGCTGTTGAAAGGAAAAAGTTGTGCTATATCAGTGGTTAGAAATCTTTTTTACAAGTACAAAATATTTATGACCACATTTTGAGCCCATATTTAGGAGCTTATTTGTTATATTTAGAACATGCACCATTAAAAAAAACACAAAATAAAAGATTTAAAATGCAGATATATAACTGTCACCTGATTCTGTTTCCTTCACTGTTGTTCACATCAAAGCTGTCACAAACATAAACACAGTGGAAGCCACACCGCTATGGAAACAAAGGCTTCGGCTGCGCTACATGCTGGTGTTCTTGGAGTTGAAAGGAGGCTTTCCCAGTACTGTGACTGGTCAAAGAACAAAACATTTTCTTACTCTGTAATCATCAGGAAACGCGTCTGTAACAGCAGTGCAGAAGTATTATTGTTGTAAAGAAATGTATATTTGGGTTTGTATATTCTGGTGTTTATCAAGGAAATTAAATGAAGAGTAAAAGCTAATCAATAACCTTACCAGCATGTATCACAGTAACGCCAGTAAAAGCTGATTTTTACTCTCCATAAGGAGTCTAGGTGATGTTCCACTGTGAGACACGCAATAAATATTCAGTAGCAAGTCCTATTCCATAAAACTGTGGCTGCTTTTCCATGCATAAATGTCCCTACGTGTCGGGTGGTGATGTGTGAGAGCATGCATGCTCACAGTGCTGACTCGGGACAGCTCCCTGCAGGTGCTGAGCAGCCCATTTTGCAGCACATCTCTCTGTTGGACCAGGCTCTGTGTGGCTGCTGCATTGGAGTCACTCTGTTCACTCAGCTCCTGACTGGCAGACAGCAGCGCTGTCTCCAGAGTGTGCTGCCACACAACACACAAAAATTATTACTGCATATCCGCAAAGAGAGCAACACACATGCACAGAGTGCACAGCTGTACCTTCTCTCTGTGTAGCTGCTGCAGTTTCTCCTCCTGCATCCTCACTGCTTTGTCCTGCTCACACAGTCTGCTCAGCTTGGTCTAACACAGCCACACAAACATGCCCATCAGTAAACGTGTCTTTGAAACGTGTCAATCATTTCACTGAGAGCTGCGGCCGTCTTACATCTATGTCAGCCTCCTCTGGGCGCTGGACGAAGGCGCCGTCTTTGTAGTCATCTGAACTCGTCTGAAGAAGAGAAACAGTCAGAGATGGACACTAAGGGGCAACACATCTGGTACAACGGAGAGCTCCAGGTCAGTTTTTCAAAAAATATTAAGAAATGTCACAGAATGCATTCAGGGATTACTTCTCGACTTGTTATACACTAACAGTCAAAAGTTTGGACTCGCCTTCTCATTTGTTGTCGTTATTTTTGCTACTTTCTACATTATAGATACAAACTGACATCAGATATATGAAGTAAGATATATGGACTCATGTAGCAAAGGAAAAACTATGTTTTATATTTTTGATTTCTGTAAGTAGCTGCTCTTTGCTTTGTTGACAGCGCGGCAAACCCTCGGCCTTCTCTCAGCGAGCTTCATGATGTTGTCACCGGAAACGGCTTCACCCGGCAGGTGAGCCTGTCAGGGTTCGTTTGTGGAATTTGTTGCCTTCTTAATGGGGTTGGGACCATCAGGTGTGTTGTGCAGAAGTCAGGTTGCTACACAGACTGTTAGAATTCATATTATGGCAAGAACCAGTCAGCTAAGAAAAGAGAAACAACAGGCCATCATTACTTTAAGAACTGAAGATCAGTCAGTTGGAAAATTGCTAAAACTTTGAATGTGTCCAAGTGCAGTCGCAAAAACATCAAGACTACGATGAAACCGTCTCACATGGGGACGCCCCAGGAAAGGAAGACCAAGAGTCCCTCATTCATCCGAGTCACCAGCCTCAGAAATCACAAGTTAACAGCAGCTCAGATTAGAGATAAGTCTAAATCTGAGATCTTTGGTTCCAACTGCAGAAAAGGTGAATGGATGGCGTACACAGTCACCTGACCTAAACCCAGTGGAGATGGTTTGGGATGGAGCGCAGAGTGAAGGCAACGGACCAACAAGTGCTCAGCATCTCTGGGAACTCCTTCAACACTGTTGGAAACCATTTCAGGAGACGACCTCATGAAGCTCACGGAGACGCCAAGAGTGAGCGAAGCAGGAATCAAAGGGTGGATATCAGGAAGAATCTAAGATATACAACATGTTATTTCACACATCTTTGTTTCCTACATAATTCCACATGCGTTCATCCGTAGTTTGATGCCTTCAGTGAGAATCTGCAATATAAATATTCATGAAAATAAAATAAAAAAACATGAAATGAGAAAGCATGTCCAAACTTTTGACTGTCTGTTTAATTTAATCCCACATGATATAAATTATTGTGTCAGGATTTGTTTTTCCTGAATACAGTGGGCAAAAATTCTTCATATTACACTTGTTGTTTATTACAAGAGCATGAAATGATGCAGTGATGATGGGATATTGTTGATATTTACTAATCCTGCTTGAAGCTGCTTACCCAGATGTTACCACGGCTGCTGTGGATCACATTAGAAAGTACAAACACGCATCGCCAGCGTAGCTTCAGCAAACTATAATATGCTGATAAACAAACTCTTACATATTGCCTCCTACACTTTAGTCTGATTTGCAGCAATGAGGTTGTGCTCTACCAAGAAACAAGTCAACCTTTTTTTAAGGCAACTTTTTGTTGGAATCAGTCCCAAACAACTGTCCCA